TCTCTCTCTCTCTCTCTCTCTCTCTCTCTCCCCCCCTCTGTGTGTGTGTGTGTGTGTGTTTTGCAAAAAAAAACTCTCTCTCTCTCTCATTCCATCCACAAATCGTCACAAACCATCCATAACAGAAAAGAAGTATGGATAAGCACTCTGTGTGTTTTGAATTTTCACCACAACAGCCCCAATTCCACCCAGATGAGCAGATCCAAAATGGAAGCAGGTTTATCCCTGTTGTTTGACAACGGCAACACGGATTCAGACAATCCAACAGTGAAACAGTTGTACCTCTGTAGCAGGCAACACGGAGCATAATAGAAACGTTCGAAAGTTGAAACCCTTTCTTAACTGTGTTCACTTTGGCTTTCTTTGGGGTACCCCTTATTTGTTCTTGCGGCTCACCTTTTCCTGTGTCTCTCATGTACAAGTCTCGCCACGTTGATTGTGGTTGAGGGCGAGCTGCCCACATCCGCATGTGATATAACAGCCCACTTGCACACTACAAAAGGAGGCAGAGTAAAGGCGGAGGTGTAATCGGTGTAATCCTGCTGTCCACATCCCCATGGGAAATAACAGCCCACTTACACACTATGAAAGGAGGCAGAGTAAAGGCAGAGGTGTATTCCTATTCATTTTTCTTCAGATCTTCAGCTTATATTTGGTCTGTATGAATTTACTAGTAGTGCAGAAGAGGAGGGAGCAAGGAAATGCGAGGTGGAGTTCTCACAGGGTTCTACATACTCACCGCTGGAGCAGACTACTCTAGAATGGCACATGAGGCCAGTCAGCGTTTGGGTTGCATAAGATTTCCAATTGAGGAGCAGCCATTTCCTATGGTAAGTGGCCACCCCTACAGACCAGAAAGGACCGGTTCGGGTGTGGACTGTGGAAGCACCCGCATCCAATTCTCGCAGTCGCATTTGCCGCATCGAATGGCACGGCGGAGACAGATGTCACGGGCTACGTGACTCTACATGCTAGGAACACAGAGGCACACCGACCGCAATTGTAGAGGCATTGCTGTTCCAGCCCCTGTTTACAAATCAGACAAGATATGTCACGGTGCCGTATATGAGTGCAGCTTTTGACTGTCATCATGCGTATGAAAACGATAACTCGCATGGGCTATCCCTTCATTATCCTCATGGCACAAGGCATGTGAACCAAATGCTAGCCAAATCTCAGGTGGGTCAGCACAGAGTGGCATTGAGCAGGTTTCGTGGGGGGTTTCCTCAGTATTTATTCCCTCTCTATGGGCAGACGACGACAGTGGTGTTCAGCTGCTGCAGGATTTGGTCTGCAACAGCTCGCCCTGGTGGTGATGTTGTGTGTGTCTGGCTGTGGGTGGGCGGGTTGACGGGTGTGAGTTGCAAAATTTATAATGAAGACATGGAAAGAACAGCAAACGCACAAAAATGATAAGAACAACGGATAGAGACAAAACACATGAACACACATGCAGACATTGCAAAAATATGGCGAGACTTAACCAACTTCACCATATGTGTAAATGAGCAGGACATGCAAATACATCTGTCAATCCACTACGGCCATGGCGTACCCGACATCACAAGCACAGATTTAATATCAGAGACCGAAATGTAAGCCCGGTATTACCCAACCGCAACCACAGACAGAACAGGCATGATCAGAGTGTGGTCTCTGGAAACAGTACATACGATGCTCTTAATAACAGGCGCTGTCCCCTCCCTAACACCAGACGACGCATGCAACATCACCCCCATGATGCCCAGAACACCAAGGCATGTCTGTCGTAACCAAACATCAGCACAAGTTGAGCAGTGTTTATGCCAGCAGAGAATCACCGAAACAGAACCGATTCCGCACCATAATAGGTAACTACATGGCACCATGTGTGTACTGTATATTCGCTTAACACAACTCCCCAAGGAAAGGGTGACTATGACAGAGTTGCATCAAGACTTTCACCGACTTGTTAGGAGGTTCTCAACAGTCTTCCCACATTTGACTGATGGACAAGGACTCACCACCTTGCCCAAACTTAGGGACACACCATGTGACTGCCTGATGATCCTCGTCATCGACAGTTCTCTTCCCCCACCCTTTCGTGTGTTACAGCACTAGAGACCCACCCTTATACTCCCCCTCCTCCCCACCGTCATTTTCCTGCAAAGCATCTTGGAACTCCTACCCCCTCAGCCCCTTCATCTGTGAAACATCTCGCAAGCCCTTTTTCCTCTTGGTTCCTCTTCATCATGTACAGAGAGAGGTGTGTGTCCACAGATATGTTTGGCAGGCCAGTGCACTCCTGCACGGTCAGCATTTCAACTGGGGCAACTATGGCAGACGCAATCATACACTCGGTGGACGTATCCACTCCATATGTCCATACATCTGGGCTGTCTGGCGGCCATGTCCGCTGGTAATCATGCCCTGAACAGCGCTCAGTGACTGCTTCTTGCTCATCCTTTCTCTGACCTGCTCCCCTCTTCCATTACCTTCAAACGGACATCTTCTCTATGTTTCCCATCTCTTCAACACCTCTCCCACCACGTCTCTACGACTTTCCCCTTTCATCCTCTACATCCTATACCAGTCTACACTACACACTCCCACTCACAATTCAACTTAGTCGGTGTGTGAAATGGAATCAACGACACTGCGAAATTGCCGTCATCAATGGTATTAGCAAGGCTTGTGAGATGGATTCATATGACTGCTGAGCTCTTTCCCATACCCTGATGGTAGAAGCGGCTACGAAGCCTCAATTAAAACTTAAAAGTCTAATACAAAACACACAACTCGAATGGTAGAAAACCACGAATCCAAGGAGGGGAGCAGACCTGCAGTACATGTCAGTAGCCACATCATGCACGGCAAAGCCGGATCAGGTTCAACAAGTCGAACGCTAAGGGCCCTGATGCCATAACAGTGCCACCTGGGAGACACCATAAGTTCTCTGTTCAGGTAACATAACAGCCAGTGCCATCATGGGAGCCCTTGCCTAGGTAGTTCAGTCACCACGCTAACGACGTGGTTGCTTCAAAAAGAACAGAATAACCAATAGTATTCACTACACACTTTTACTCCCAAGCAAAACCTTTTGCCTTCTGCTTTTTTTTTTATCTGAAAAAGACGATTGACAGCATACCTCAACATCCATAAGCTCTGCCTTCAGTTTCTGTAACTGTGGTGGAGGTCTGAATGGAGGTCCCAGCTGCACCCAGGAGGGATCGCCAGTCTTCATTCTATGCTCACAGTCTCTGAGGTGCTCAGCAAAAACTTTGGGAAGCATCCTTGGCATCATTGCCCGATCAAACGTCTGATGGCAATGAGGGCAGTGTCTGTCTTCCTTGACGCGCACAAGCTCCTGTCAGACATTTCACACAGCCATCAACCAAGATTATGTCGGTGCATCACATAGCATACTCATTCACACAATCCTGGCCAACTGTGGTAATCATAATACTGTAGAATATACCTTTCTCGGCCTTTTGGCTAAGATCAAGTGTAGTATCCGTTCTGATCAGTTTAATATCTGATCCGTGGTCCATCGGACCATAACAAAAAAAATAAATAATAATAATACTGTAGAACCGTGTAAGGGAACAAGACTTCGATGAGGCAAAAGAGAAGAGAAACCGTACACAGAGAAAAAAGAACCATATAAAGGGAAAAGAGTCAAAAGACAATTCTGAAAACCCCAGAAAAACAGAAAAGAAAGTAGTGTTCCCCCCCCCCCCCCCCCCCCAAAGAAACTCAGGGCCCCGTCTATTCTGGGGGGCATCAGTCCGGTTGCTCATCACCGGCATGCATAGGTCAAGACGAAGACCAAAGAAAGTACGTATCAGCAGACCAGAAAAGCTTGGCCCCCTACCCCTGCCGCCCTAGCCGCTATTACAGGGGGAGGCTGGATTGCGTGACTGTGCAGGCAGAGGGTCATAAAAATCCGCCTCCATTTCCATCCCTCCTCCTTTGAGAAAATGGCCCTGGCCATCCCTCCTCCTTTGAGAAAATGCCCCTGACCATCCCTCCTCCTTTGAGAAAATGCCCCTGGCCATCCCTCCTCCTTTGAGAATGCCCCTGGCCATCCCTCCTCCTTTGAGAATGCCCCTGGCCATCCCTCCTCCTTTGAGAAAATCCCCCTGGCCATCCCCTCAATGTCCCAGGCCTCCCACGACCCCGCCCCCTCCTTCCTCTATCCCCCTCCATTCAGATCCATCATCCTCCTCTGATGAAACGCCCCTGGCCATCCACTAAATCCCCCACCCTTCTACTGTGCTTCCCTCAACCCCCCACTCCCTTCCACGACCCCTCTCACTCAGTACTCGAAATGTGCACTTTCATTGCCCGTGTGCATGTCCTCACAGATGCATCCAGGCCCCATGCCCGCGAGGATTGCACAGAAAGTGTGCATCACTGCTATGAAAAGAAAAAGACGAAAAAAAGAACGAAGTCCTCGTTGGCTCCAGGACTACCGTAGTGCAACAGCATGCAGCATTGCCACTGGAGCCACATCACTTCACAGTAACAAGAACGGACACAATGCACAGAGGTCAGAGACTGATGCTATCAACCCAGAAGAGAGACTGCTTCTCATGAATCCAGATGCGTATCTAGTCCAGATGCGTATCTAGTTGAGAAGTGTTGCACAGCATATTTGTCCCAGATAATGCAACAACAGCCAGTCTTTGGTTCATACAAAGCAACTCCTCAGCCTCCATTTTGAGGCACCATGTTCCTGCGACTGGCAAGTATTTGCAGAACTCGAGCGCCCCAACTACAGCTACTGCGATGTCTTGGATCTCAGAAACAGAGAGAGGGGAAGTGGGAGGGAGAGGGGGGGAAGAGAGAGAGGGAAGTGAGGGGCGTGAGAGAGGGGGGGGAAAGGTGGAGAGAGAGAGAGAGAGAGAGAGAGAGAGAGAGAGAGAGAGAGAGAGAGAGAGAGAGAGAGAGAGAGAGAGAGAGA